TCTCGTATGTGTGTTGGGGGAGGTTAAGCAGGAGGGTCTGGGAGTGGGTCATTCTCGCATTGCTCAGCCAGCATGAGAAGCTGCTTGAGAATTCCTCCTACTGTATGAGCTGTGTTACGATCAGTTCTTGCCCCAGCATAAGCCTGTCTACATATCTGACAAGTAAAGCTATGGCCACTATGATTCTCAGGCATGAGCCACCTTGAGGCACTGGGGTCTAGTCTCTTTGAAAGATAAGCCACTGGTCTTCACCAGGGTCCAAGCATTATTATCTAATTATCATTATGTATAATTCATTTTTGCTTAGCTTCAAATCAGCTTCTTGATTTAAAAAGTATTAAAAATATAAAGACCAAAGCTTTACACAATTTGTAGCACAAGATTAAGTGCTGAGTTCCATCAAATAGTCATATATACAAACAATGGAGAAAATTAAGCCATGACAGATCTTCAGTACAGAAACTACACATGTGGGGTCTTCATTTGAAAGGAAGGGACGTTATTTCCTCAATACTTAGGTATGAGCTGCATATCCTGACTCTTCCCAAAGAACCCAGCATGGAATGGAAAAAGAACTAACTTTACAATGGCAAAGATTATTTCAGACAGGTGACCAAGGGTCATCATCAACCATGATAAATCAGGGCAGGATAGAGCCTAACTCAATCCAACATCGATTCACAAACAAAGCATGGCTGGAGAGTTGGCTTAGCAGTTAAGAATACTTGATACTTAACCAGGCGGTGGTGGCGCATGCCTTTAATCCCAGCCTTTCAGGAGGCAGAGGCAGGCGGATCTCTGTGAGTTCGAGCCCAGCCTGGTTTACAGAGAAACCCTGTCTCTCCTAAAAAAAAAAAAAAAAAAAAAGAGCTCCAGTTCTAGGGGATCCTAGAGATCCTAGATGCTTTCTTCTGACCTCTGTGAGCACCAGACAGCAGGCAAAGCACTCAACACAAAACCAAACAATAACAAGGTACACATACACGCAGGCAAAACACAAAACAAACACAAAAAAATATTCAAACAGTCCCATCTTAAATGGCAGCCTACAAAACATTTCATCAGCTTTCTTAAAATTTTTCAGTCATGAAAAACAAGGCAAGGCTCAAAACTGTCACAGGCTAAAGGAAACTACGGACACAGTATTTGAATGTGGTATATCTAAAAGTGCTTGTGGAGGGATAAAAACACAGGTAAAGTCCTGTCACTGTGATGGAGCCCATTATTTAGGACGCGGAGGCGGGAGGTTCAGAAGTTCAAGGCCAGCTTGAGCTGGCTACAGACAGTAAGAGACCCTGTCTAAATAGGTTACAGTCCCACCCAGAACCCTGTAAATTGGTTATGATAGTATACACCTGTGATCCCATTAAGTTCAAAATTATCCTCAACTACAAACAGAATTCAAGGCCATCCTGAGAGTCATGGGAACCTGTGTCAAAGCCAAACAAAGAAACCAACAGGCATTAGGTAAAAACTAAGGACTAAAGGCCTGTACCTGTCATCCTGACAGAGGGCTGAAACTGTTTTAATTTCTGGTAAGGAGGAAGGGTATATAAGAGCCAGAATGACTTGTATTTACTGATCATCAATTCTGATTGGCTGATATGGAAGAAGTCTCTGTACACTACCAAATTTAATCTTTTTTATCAAAACATATTAGCTATACAAAAGAGTTCACCATGACATTCTAAGGCTGCATAAAACCTTGATCCTATTTCTCTCCCATCATCCACCCTTGTTCAGTCTCTCTTTAAACAGTCCCTTTCTATACCATGCCCTCCCAACGTGCTGAGGATCAAACTCATGATAGGTAAGTGCTCTACCACTGAGCCATTCCTCTGTCTTTAATCTTAACCTAGGTTTTGCATGAGAAAACGTGCCATACTCATCTTTCTGGATCTTATCTCCCTTAATATTATGTCCCAGTTCCATCAATTTTCCTGCAAATATAACTTTGTTCTTTATAACTGAAGAATACTCGATTGTGTATGTCTAGCATATTGTCTTTATTCATTCATGTGGACAATGTAAAGCTGATTCTGTCATTTAGGACTTGTGAATATCGGTGTCATAATAAATGCTTGTACTTACTTGGTTTTTCCATACAGTTTCTCCATACAGCCTTGGTTGTCTTATAACTTACTCTGTAGAGTAGGCTGGCTTAGAACTCACAGAGACCCATCTGACTGCCTCTCAACTGCCACTACTGCCCAGGTTGGTGACCTTGTTTTTGTTTTGTTTTAATGTTGACTCAATTCCTTTGGGTGTATGCCCAAGAGAATCATCCTAATTTTGCCTTCACTATGGCTACTCTGCTCACATAACGATAAGGATAGGGCTACAGTACATTTCTAATGACTTTATTTACATTTACTTATTTTGGCTCGGCATATGATAAGACAAACCCTATGTGAACAAAAGCCCTCGTTTTTCAGTATATCTTGGCCAAGCTCACCCAGACGGGCCACCAGTTTGGCTTTTCAGGACAGTGTAACTTAGACTGGTCTCCAACTCAGTATGGAGCTAAGGTTGTAGGCCATCTGTTTTGCTTATACTCATTTGAGAGAGAGAGAGAGAGAGAGAGAGAGAGAGAGAGAGAGAGAGAGAGCGTGCGCGAGCGCTTTCTCGTCACCACAGGTTAGGTCACTAAGCTGTACAAGACGACAGGAACTGCAGAAGAAGGCAGCTCCCGCCTCTCTAGAGCCATGATAAGCATTACTGGTTGTTAGGCCTAGGACTCTCTGTGCCTCTCCCACAGATTCTGTCGCCTACGTGTCACTGGGGGAGAACGAGCTTTTGGCCGGAGTAAAAGACTGCCCTCGGAATCCAAAGGTGCATGCGCTGGGTCCTTCCCGGGCTCCGAGGGGCGCATGTCGGGAAGGGCCCGCGCGGCGGTTGGGCCGGGCGGGGGAATCTTTGTTTCCGGAGCTGCGGCCCGGCCGCCGCGGGGCTGTGCGCGGAGTGTCACCCGCACACCCGGCCTGTGCGCGTGCAGGCCTCCTGCGAGGTGACGGGAGCGCCGAGCCGGAACGCCCG